ATATTGCAGTCTTCTTCGTTTTGTGAATCAGCTGAAACTTTAAAATACGATATTCTTTTCTGGAGCCGCTCTTTCATTTATAACTGTACATATTAGAAAGCGAATAACAAACAGCATAACGTTCATTCTAATAATATTGAAATAAATCTATATTAGAACCGAAGCGGAGAAGTTCTATATTAAAAATAACATTTGATTCCAACGATTTCACAAAACGCAGAATCAACTCAATTAAAAGTAAGTAACCAAACAGCGATTAGACGATACTTAGACGATACTTAAAAATTGTTTTGAACATTGTTTTGTCCTTTCTTTTTATTGCCCAGCATATATTTACTCCATGCCTGTCTCATTGTTCACGATAACTCGCACGATAACACTTAAATCGCACGCAATAATTTTTAACATTCCAAATTTTTATGATTTCGCAAACAGTGCCGGCGTTTTATCTCTATTAAATCTACGCAATTCCGCAATGACTTATGCCCTAGTAAAACCCAGAGCCTCCATTTCCTTAACTGGCTTCCGTGAACGGATCATGCGGATAAATTGTATTCTCTAAAGCGACGGGCCTTGATGACCTTTGATTGCTGCCTTGCCCGTCTAACAAATTTCCATGAAAACATTTATCATCGACGAGACAAATTTCCGTAGGAAAAAACAATACTCGTTAAAAAAAAGTAAATTATCATAAGCTATAATTAATGTTCACACAAATTAGATATTCATAACTTTAAGTTGCTATCAAAAACATAAATTTAATAATTTAAATTTATTTAAAGAATAGGCGATTGCAGAAATATACTAAAATAGACCAGACATAGTGGAAAGGTGTGAAAATAGTATTCTTTTAATAGATAAAAAGTAGTAAAAAAGGACGAGAGGATAGCCTGAGCTGAGACGTACTTGCTATGCTGCCACTGTTTCTTAGCATCCCTCGTGCTATTCTCGAGAGCTCACTGGAGATCTCTGTCATCTAAGGATTCATCACTGTTTCCATTCAATTTGGCATACTCTGATAAATCACCTGCTGTAAAAATAATTGTTAATAAATTATTATTTGCTAATATTTTTTGCTCTAACGTTTTCTTAATTATAATTAATTTTTTACACACACACAAGTGTTGTTAATTACAAAAAAAAGAAGTACACCTTCTGTCAGAAAAGGACCTTCAAGTCAATTCTTCTTCAAGTCAACGCAACATTGATGTCTCTTAAGGATATCCAAGCCCAGTAGCATGTCCATAGACTGTTCCTCAAGAACGCTGAAGAATGTTGTCAGATGGTCATTGCTGATCTGTATTTGTGGAGGACTATAAAGTCTATCGAGATTAAAATCCAAAAGATTAAAAGTTTAGAACTAGCTATCAATTACGGAAGAGATCTGGCAGCAGGATCTGTCTAAATACATGCATCCATCGATGGTTACGATCGCATGATGTTACGATGCGACGCATCACCGAAAGAATAACCGTTGAGCTTAAAACTACACAAAATTTCTCAGGGGTGATTTCTCACGCAGAGTAACTTTTATTCCTAAGAACCGTTCTCTCTCCTCTATCCAGTTCGCGGTAGAAGCTTCACCATGAGCATCCTTTTCAACAAATGTGACACTGAAAGGGTACGTTATTTATTTGTTCTATTAATTTCTTCTTCTCGAAACTTTTATTTATTAGCCTTATTAGCAAAACAAGTCATTTAAGTAGAATGAAAACGTGATTCTCTTTTTCTTCCGATACCTTTCATTTTCTTTTAAATTATATCTTTCTAAAGAGTGACGAGCTACCATACAATTTTTTTACAATTTTCTAAATCATGACATTTTCTTGATTGTGAATCATTGTACGATTATAAACGACATAACGATGAAATATCAGCTGGTAAAAGAAAGTATAACTTGTACATCACATTTTCAAATATATATCTCGTGATATTTTTTAATTTCTACAATATCTCTCATATTTTTATTTGTTAATCTAAATAAATAATAAAACAGGAAATTAAATTTTTATAAGTGATTTTTTTAAATTATTTCTCTTAATGTTTTATAATTCTTTAACAGTATATATTACAATTACTTTCTATCTCTATTACGAGAAATTACTTGCAAGATAGATTAGAAAGCTTTAATCACTATTTAATGTATATACTTCAAAATGATTTACGGTTTAAGATTATGGATTATTTATACCATTCAAAATTTTCTGTACATTTTTTTTTGTTTCGATGAAAGGATGATGACAAATACAGCAACATCGTGGTAATTTAGCACAACGACGAGCTGTTAACACATATGATGTCGTTTTTACGTTAGAATGACGTCTCAAGACCGCGTGATCTTATAGTATCGGCGGATCTTAATGGAAGTAGGAAAATATAATTGCTGTGTTGTCATTAATTCAACTTACTTTCGACATGAATGTTGATTGCTGCGCTTTTTCAATTATTCATAAGCTTAATAGAAATGCTGCTAAGACCGATTTTTTTTATAATGCGTAAAACAAAAATTTGAAAAAAAAATTGACAATTATTTTTTGATAAAACATTAATTTGTAAAAAGTTTTCATATCTATTAAAGATCTTAAGTAAAGAACTTTAATCCTCTTGAAGATAGATACTATTGCGTCTATTGTGGAACTAAGTAAACATTGTTTTATCTGGTCGCTTCTCGAAAATATTTACGAAAATTTTTAATGAATGAAGTATAATAGAATGTCTAAAATAAAACTTTAGGATATCTTTACCGATCATCTTAAGATATATTTCATAAACAAATCCGAAAGATTTTAAAATTGTTTTATGCGTCGATTTTAGATATTTTGCTCATTGAGTTATATCGCTCAATAATCGCCATGTACAAATCTTTATTTTGAAAAATTCTATCGTTTTTTAATTGAAAAAATGTTACAGTTATATTATAAATAAAATTATAGCTTGAGTTTCTCACTGGCACAATCGATAGAATTCTCTCACAAAGCTATTTTTTATATTAAACACGTTTAGCAAGTGCAATCGTTAAGCAAAAAATGTGATTAATATATTTCGTGATTGATTAAATCGGCATTTAATTAATAAAAAAAAATCTAAATCAATTAAATTAATTAATGCTATCAACGTAGAAATTAATTTTAAACTCAATTATCCCAACTTATCCTTTATCTTTTTTTAATTCTTAAAACTAAAAAAACATAGAGAGTCAGTTGAATTAAAATTAAAATAAAACTACATTAGTAAAAAAAGATATAAATCCAAAAGCCGATTTTATTTAGCTTGCATTTGCCGAATGTAATATGCCGCATGATAAAAACACATATCTTAATTGATTTCAGAATGAGAAGAAAGTCAAGGGTGCCGTTTTATTATAAATCTTACCGATCGATGAACATTTTCGATTGATGAAAACTCACGATGCGACATTCTATGTGAATTTGTTGTTGCTGCTTGTTATTTAATTTACGTTGTTTAAATAAATTATGTAATCGCGACTTTTTATAGTCTATTTTTATTCCAAAGATACGATATATAATGCGATAATTTCGTCGATAACCCCTTGTCCCTTTCATGATTTTGCATTTTAATGGAAATTTTCAAGTTACTTATTGATATTAATTATGCAGTAAACAATTTTAACAGATATTTCAGGTCATTTTAAAAGTCGCTGAAAAACTAGAAGTACATCTATTTTTTATCAATTGTTATGACATAGTTTTTGCGATAGAAGTTATGATATAGATAAATGATTAGCGTAATTATAGCGATAACAAAGTCCTCCATTCATTACGTATTACAGGTCGTGGTAACATTTTAAGAAATGAAAGGGTATCGCATAATGATTATGCAAAAACACGAACAAACATAACTGCAGAATCTAATGGCTATATCGCGTAAATATATATAAACCACTCATATCCAAATCAACGTTATGCTCAATCTATTAGAATGATCAACGTATCGAATATGGTGGAATATCCAATTTAAGTCTTCTCTATCGTCGCTTGATTCCTCTCTCTTTCTATCCTTCTTTCTGAATGAGTGCATCGCAATACTGAACTTTTCTCATTGTACCTCGTGACTTAATTTAATAAATGGATAGAACTATCTGGAAGTTCTCTCCTGCTGCCAAGTGTCGTTTATGTGACGCTTTTGTAGCAGCAAAGCATGTTAATAATTAATTAGTAGAAATCCAGAGATTTTAAGACAGCACACCAGCTTAATTATTTCGAAAGGCGAACAATTAAATAAAAATACTTCAATTTTAAACTTATCATTAATGCTCAAGAATGTTATCATTAATATTCAATAATTTATGTTGCCAGAAATTTATACTCATTTTTTCGTATTTATTGAGAAGTTTGTTAAGAATTCTTGGCATAAGAATAGCCAGTAAGGATAAAAATAAAAATGATAAAAAATTCAGAAAACTCGGAAGAAATATACAAAATTCCTTATTCAATAAAAACAACAGCTCAGCATGATAGAGATTTCCTTATTTTTTTATATTACGCATTACTGATATAATTAGAAAATGTATCTTTTATCTATTACGTGGCGCTATTGGATAATAATATGCGTCACAGTAAGCAACCCCCACTTCCATTTATCTTTTCGTATATAAGAAGCTGTTATCGAGGCATCGTTTGCCAGAAACCGGTCTCTCGATCGCGACAGATTTTGGAATCAAAGTATATACATTTATAATTTGTAATAATGGCAACGGCGAAGTTCAAAGAGACATCTCCCTACGTCAAACCGAAGCCTTCACCACCTGAGGATGATTATCTATATAAAAAGTGAGTAATTAATTCAATATCATTAATATAAATTCGCATCGGCGCGATGCATTGTAAAATAAATGTTATACTCGATTGACAGAAATTTATTCGATGAAGAAAATTGCTTATAAAAAAAAACGTTTACTTTTATATTCCTAAAATTTTATTTCTATTCTTAATTTAAAACCGACGTGAGAAATGTCTACGCGCAACAAAATTCATATGGACTTTAAATAAACAAATTTTCAATTTATTTTATAAGTAACTTTTATGTAGGTGGACAATTATTACAGTTTTTCACTTTAGACTGTCGAGACTAGAAATTTCAACTATATTTCTTTAAGATGTATGTTTATGTTTACCAGATTGAAGAACTCTTCCTATACAAAATAAATAACAATAAATAAAGTAAGAGTCAAACAGTTTAAACTGAGTTTTTATTTTATTATATTTTTTCAATTTTATTTTTTTCTATTTGTAATTTATTCGTTTAATTGTGTGACTTTTTTAAAGAAATGTGTTTGACTCTTACTTCGCCATTTATTTATTGTTATTGATTTTATGTTTCTTTGCTTCTAATATTTTTTTAGTAATGATTCTTCTACTAATGCAGAATATATATAAATTAATATTAAAATATATATTAAAAGTACGTTAAACCGAGATTAATATTTAATCTCAGTTTAATTTTCTTTCTTTATACCTTTCTAATCTCTTTCTAATTTTTAAATTGGAAAAAATAAAGAGTAAATTAAATCTTTTTAAAGATTAAAATTATTCGACACTGGTAGAAATGAACACTTAGAGAAATATCTTTTATAGATATTTAGAACACTTCCCCCTGAAAGCGGAGAACGAACCGATAGTTAAAGTGGCTCTGTTCGGCGTGGGTCGTGCCGGGACGATACATTTAGCAACTATGAATTCTAGTAAACGTGTCCAAATTTTATATATTGTTGATGACGTCGAAAGTAATTGGCAAAACTTGCGAAAGTACTGGCATCTGGACAACGTTACCTTCTTAAATAGCAAGCAGTCTGATAAAGTATTCAAAGATCCCAAGTAAGTAACTACACTGAGAAAAAAAATATATATCCTAAATTTCAATAAATATTTATTTGAATAGTACCGATTAAATATTTATTAAACATAAAAATATATTTATTTGGTACAAAAAACATTAATTTGATTTAACAATCACTTCTTTTTATTAAATAAATATTTATTTATTATGAGTAAATGTTTAGTTGGTAGTATTCAAATAAATATTTATTTAAATTTAGGCTATATTTTTTTTCAGAGTATATCAATTAAGAAAACATTGTCGAATAATTAACTTAAATAAACTCAAATTAAAATAAAAAATTAAGTACCTTATGATATAAATTTATATGTATAATATAAATTATATATTATAAATGATATAATAGAAATTAGCGTGAATTACACAATTTCTATATCTAGACAACATAAATCTGTAATACAAATGTATCTGTACAATCAAACAAGTAATGCCTGCTTTTCACAATTTGTAAAGTGTCGATGCGGTTTTCGTGGCGTCACCGACTTACACACATGAAGGTATAGTTATCAAAGCTCTGGAAGCAAAGAAGGCAGTCTTCTGTGAAAAACCCATAGCAGAGGATCGCCCAAACACCGTCAAATGCTACGAGATGGCCAAGAAAGTTGGCAAGCCACTATTTAGCGCGTTCAATCGGCGATTCGATCCAAGTTATTCGAATCTGAAAGAACGAGTTCGCAAAGGGGAGGTTGGACACGTCCACATGATTAAAACAGTCTCTCGTGACTCTCCCCTGCCCTCTATAGACTATTTGAAAGTATCCGGCGCTATCTTCCACGATTGCTTGGTCCACGATATCGACATGATAACTTGGGTTCTCGGAGAATACCCAGATAAAGTACGATTTTTACACATATTGTACGCAATGTACACTGAGAAAAATACTAAATTTTAATAAATATTTGACTAATCCTAAGTAGAAATTTATTAAATGTAAACATATATTTGTTCGACATAAAAGTTATTAATTTCATTCATTTTTTAATAAGTAAATATTTATTTATTGGAAGTAAAGGTTTAATATTATTCAAAGATATATGTTAAGATTTAGTAATTTTGTTTCAGTATATATAGCAATTTTGTGTATCTACATGCAGTTAATATCTTAGAAAAAGCAGATTTTTATATGTATTTATCTCAATTTTTTTATATTTTTATAATTATCTCAAAGAACTAAAAATTGAACAAATCATATCTATTTAAAAAAATGATTAAAAAATGCGAATTACAGGTTTCGGTCCTAGCCCACGCAAATATCCCAGAAATCAAGGCCATTGGAGACTTCGACACGGTTGCAGTGAACTTACATTTTCCATCAGGAACAGTTGGCATGATCGATTTATCGCGCAACAGCTCATACGGATATGATCAACGACTGGAAGCCTTCGGTCCGAAAGGCATGCTGCAAGCCGCCAATGAACAGTTTCACTCCGTTCATGCGTATAATGAACTACAAGGGATTACCACCGCCCCGATCTTCTACTCATTCGCTAGCCGTTTTATGAACGGCTATCTGAGAGAGTTTGATCACTTCCTCGATGTGGTACATGGTAAGGTTGAATCGCAGGTCAAGTCGAAGGAAACCTTGGCGGTGAGTAAGATCGCTACGGCCTGTGAAGAGTCCGCTCGCATGGGGAAAGTCGTGGAACTCACATGGACCAAGGACGAGTTGCCGGATAATTTATGAGGAGAAACAGCAAAATTTCAGCAAAACTTCAACAAAACTATTATTACAGTCGTATAATATTATCTTCTTTGATGCCATTTTTATAAATTATATATAATATATACTCGTGTATATATATATATATATATATATATATATCACATACTTTTTTTGTTTATAAATGGAATAAATTACCAAATTATCGCATATAAAAAGAGTGAGACTTCTATGAACATTATTCATTTAAAATCTATATGTATGTCTCTCTTTCACTCAGTATCTGAGTATCCGAGAAGCAAAGGTATAGATATATAATAAATGTTTGTAAACGTGATTTTTCTTTTTTTTTCTCCTCCTTTTAATTTTTTATCTAAAACCACAATATCACAAAATAAATAGATATTTTTTAAAGTGCAATTTGAGAAATAAAATAATATAACTGCGATACACATACATAAAAATATATTATAAATTATGTAATATATGCAGACATTATTATCGTTTTTGTCCAAATAATGAATATTTAGCTGATAAATAAATCAAGCCATATTGTTCATGTTTTTATTGTATGACAAAGAAATTATAATAATATACCAAATACCTTGTCAAAAGAAAAATAGCAGCAGTATAAAATCGATTTGTAAATTGAGTACACACCTGTGTAGAAGACACTTCTTCATGTAACTGCTATCATAACAAATATCTCGTAAAAAAATGGAAAATTTTTCTATTGCTCGCCTGTTATTATCATTTTATATACAAAGTCTGCGTTTTTCTTCGGTAAATAATGGAGGAACTGAGTTTGAGCCGAGTTCGACATTATTTTCGAGTCTCTGAAACATTATCAAATTATAAAGTCGATGTTCTAAGCGCAAATTTTGTCTACTCCATTTCGTACTCAAGATTTATAAGAGTCTATTAATACTAGATATATATACATTTGTCCATATTCACCACTTAAATGAAAAATTACAAAGAATACCGCAAAAGATATACATATCTTTCGAGGTGTATAGAAAAATCTTATCGCTTACTATGCTGATTCTCCTCAGCTTAATTATGTATACACAAGTCTTATTTTTGTATGAATTCTAAATAAAATCTTGATATAATCAATATATAATCATATTTTCGTAAATATGCATACTGCAATTAATTATGTTAAATATTAGGTCACGTAACAATTTAATTCTTCTTTTAACAAACTTAGCTACATAGCGTAGTATAGTACATATATAAATATATATACTATTTGGAAATAATGCAATTAGGCGTTGCATGTACGTGTAAGAAAATATACAAAGAAGTATACTTCAAATACAACTTCTTATCAATCTAACTGGAACTTCTGTATTATTTATGTATTTTTATAAAATTCAATCTGAGAGATGCGCATATTCTCCAACGTTTTTCAACATTCTTCAATTTGTTTCTGAGCTATAAAAGGTTTTTTTTTTACATCATAACTATTGATCAATGTATCAAAGTTTTATTTATTGAAGGACCATATTGCAGTCTCCTTCGTTTTGTGAATCAGCTGAAACTTCGAAAATATGATATTCTTTTCTGGGACTGCTCTTTCTTTGTGACTGTACATATTGGAAAGCGAATAACAAACAGCACGCACAACATTCATTCTAATATTGAAATAAATGTATATTAAAATAAAAGCAGAGACGTTCCATATTAAAGATAATATTTGATTCCAACGATTTCACAAAACGGAGAATCAACTCAATTAAAAGTATCAAACAGCGATTAGACGACGCTTAGACGATACTTAAAAATTGCTTTGAACATTGTCCTTTCTATTTTTATTATCTAGAATATATTCACAATTTCGCTCTATGCCTGTCCCTTTGTTCACAATAACTCGCACGATAACACTTAAATCGCACGCAATAATTTTTAACATTCAAAATTTTAATGATTTCGCAAACAGTGCAGCAGTAGCCTGCGTTTTATCCCCGTTAAATCTACGCAATTCCGCAATAACTTGCGCTCTGGTAAAACCCAGAGCCTCCAGTTCCTTGACTGTGGCTTCCGTGAACGGGTCATGCGGATAAATTGTAGTCTCTAAAGCGGCGGGCCTTGATGACCCTTGATTACTGCTGCCTTGCCCGTCTAATAAATTTCCATGAAAACATTTATCATCGATGGGAAAAATTACCATTTGTACAAAAAAATAATGTTCGTCAAAACAAAAAGTAAACTATCATAGGCTATACATAACAATTATGCAAATTAGATATTCATAACTTTAAGTTGCTTAAAAACAAAAATCTAATAATTTATTTAAATTTAAATTTATTTAAAGAATAGGCGATGGCAGAAATATACTAAAACAGACCAGGCATAGGGAAAAGGTGTAAAGATAGTATTTTTGTAATAGATAAAGTAGAAAAAAAGGACAAAAGGATTAAGAGGATAGCCTGGGCTGATACGTACTTACCATGCTGCCTCTGTTTCTTAGCATCCCTCGTGCTATCCTCGAGAGCTCGCTGGAGATCTCTGTCATCTAAAGATTCATCACTGCTTCCACTTAATTTTGCACACTCTGGTAAATCACCTGTAGAAATAATTATTAATAAATTATT